CCCCCCTCTAAACACCTCTTCTCGATCCTACATCCACCCTCAAGGTGTGACAGAGAAGGCGTCGTGCTCGACCAGAGTTGATTCATTAGTAGCAGGAAGGTATCTGGGTGTCGACACCATGAGGGTCTCGTCGGCGATACATGTGTGATAGTTGAGGGAGAGAGAGATCAGGGACGACAGAAAATCAGAGAGAAGAGAAACTAGAGATGAAAATCTATTTAATGTTCTTGTCTCATCGGCGACCATATTTAAAGTTTATAAAAGTCCAACCAAAGTATTCTATCGACCAGCTTGAACAAAACAACAACTCAAAACTGATTTTCCTAAAAATCTCTACAACTGGTTTTGCTAAAACTTAGTCCAAATAGTACTACTCCCACCAATACATAAGCATATTATGGAACGAATGAAGTGGTTACCAAAACAGATACCATGGCATTTGCAAGATGAGCTCTGATCTGAGTCGTTGAGGCCTTGTGATGAGCTGCTGGTGTTGCGTGGAAGTGGCACATGTCAAACAAAGTACACCAATGACTCATTAAAGAAGTTCAACTTGCAAGAAAGCAAAGGCATGAAAACACCCATGCCTACTAGTGGACATCTTGACTTGACTAAGTATGGCAAACCGGTTGACCAAAAGGTTTACTGCTCTATGATTGGTTCATTGTTATATCTATGTGCCTCCCATCCCGATATTATGCTAAGTGTGTGCATGTGTGCATGATATCAAGTGGCCCCTAAAGAATGTCATCTTAAGGCTGTGAAAAGGATAGTGAGATACTTAATTCATACACCAAATTTTGGCGTTTGGTATCCTAAGAGGTCTTCTTTTGATCTTGTTCGCTACTCGGATTCGGACTATGCCAGTGATAAGGTTGATCGGAAGTCCACTTTGGGTACTTGTAAATTTCTTGGTAGATCTCTTGTGTCTTGGTCCCCCAAGAAACAAAACTCGGTATCCTTATCCACCGCCGAAGCGGAATACATTGCCGTCGGGTAATGGGATAATGGGATATATTTTGGATACACAAGTGCTCTTCCTTGCAAAAACTAACCCATTTAGGAAGATGAACTCAAACTACAAGTGGTGCTCTCAACTCTTGATGGACTACATCAACCTTGAGTATCCAACGCAAGTTCAACTACATGACCAAGATCAACACAACCTAAGGTATGTTATTCCATCTTAGAGAAGCTCTGACCCAAGTCATGAGTCAAAGCAACTCAACGAGATGTGAATACATCAAAATGCTTAAACAAAAAATGGAAACCCCATTTTGAGCTTAAACGATGAGTATGACCTACGATCAAGTGTTATCACTTGACTCCTCAGTCGATATACTCTAACATAGGTGACTTTGTCGCCGCCCCCCCCCCCCCTCTTGATGAAGTTCTTTAGTGTTTCTTTGTTCACTTCATCTAGATCTTTTGTCTGCATTTCTTTCTGTGTTTAATTCATTGCAAATCCTTGTGAGATTTAATTTGTCTAGTGAGCTGAGTTGATAAATCTTTTACTCTGCACTGAACTCGGACTCACCGATTCATGCCTATCGGATAGACCGAACTACATGAATTACTTGTAGATAGTTCATCGGTACAACCGACACAGACTAACTCGGTCTGACCGATATGCATCATCCCTGACACTGCCAACTCGGTGTCACCGATGAAAAGAGGTTGGCGTTACCAATTTCACTGCTGAGAAAACTTTTTGTCATTGCATGTTTCCTTTCTTCTCCGGCTCCACTCAATGATTCTTATCCTCTACCCGCATCATAAATTACATGCTACTTTGTAATGTGTCTCAAGGACCAAACCTATTTGAATCATACTCCAGAAGTTCTCTTCTTGGAAATTGATGTCAAAGGGGGAGAGAGAGCACATCAAAGCTTATCACATGGGAGAGAAATCACATCTTAGCTTCTCCAGATGCCTGTGAACAATAGAGGAGAGAAGTCACATGTCTTTAAGAGGGGAAAGACATGTCAATATATAGTTGATTGTACCATTTCTTGCTCTGATTTTCTCTTACCCTACCTTCTCCCATTATCCAATATCAGATTCAGGGGGAGAAAGAGTTCATATCTGGGGGGAGAAAATCTTTGGAATTCATTGCATATCTTTAATCTTTGGGGACATGACTATTTCCAAATGGAGTACTAAGTACTCACTCATTACATGTCATCCCAGTCTTGGTACTCTTGTGGTTTCCTGAAATTGCTTTAATTAGAGTGTTCTTGTGTTATCTAACCCTGTTTTCTCAAGTTCACCTCTTCGAAAGCCAGCCCAAGACCACAAGGTAAGTACATGCATCACACTCATGTGCATGATGATTTCTTGTTGATGTACATATTGTTTGCAAGAAGGATTCATGAACATGAAGGCACACTTATCTTATCTACATCATTTGCTCTAATGCATATAGCCAAGATACATGTAACTCATTACGTGCTCCGACATGCTTATGCATTCACATGTTCTTATATTCCATCTTTACATGAATGCATACATGTAGGGGAGCCTATGCATGTTACATGTCTTTCCAAAGCTTTACGTGTTACTCTTCATATCTTTTTATCTAAAGCTTTGATGTATGTTGTCATCAATTACCAAAAAGGGGGAGATTGAAAGCACAAGTGCTCCTTGGGTGGTTTTGGTAATTAATGTCAACATATCTCTTGTCGTACTAATACCTTTACCTAGTAGATTCCAGATCAGTTCAACAATGGCATGGCAAGGACAAGAGGATGTGAAACCCCTTCAAAATGCTAAGGACAAAGATTGGCAAAAGCTCAAGACTCTTCATTTTCATTTTAGTGATCCAAGATCACATTGAGTCCATAGGAAAGCCAATACTATTAAAAGGGGATGAAGTGTTGCTTAATGGTCTACTTGCTCAAAGTGCTTAGTGATACTGCTCCAAAACCCTCAACCACTTTCCCACTCCAAATATGTCCAAAATCCAAAGTAAAACTCGACCCCACCGATTTGATCTATCGGGCGCCACCGAGTTCAGTTGACATAGCCACTGCCAGAAACCCTAGACAATTCGGACTCACCAATACGGATCTCGGTCTCACCGAGATGGCATTGCAAACTCTCTGTTTCCCTTCTTAATGTTTCGGTCTCACCAAAATGAGCGATCGGTCCCACCGAGTTCGCATTGCAAACTCTCTGTTTCCCTTCGTAACGTTTCGATCCCACCAAAATGAGCGATCGGTCCCACCGAGTTTGCCTGACCAACTCTCTGTTTGCTCATTGCTGAAATCGATCTCACCGAGTTCATGCAATCGGTCTCACCGAGATGAGGTTTTGCCCTAGTCCTAGCACATCGGTCCCACCAAGTTGATTATGTCGGTCCCACCGAGATTCCTAACGTTCACATTTTGAACTAAATCGGTCTCACCGAGTTAATCTATTCGGTCTGACCAAGTTGGGTCAATTATGTGTAATGGTTGGATTTTGTGTGGAGGCTATATATACCCCTCCACCCCTTCTCTATTGAAGAGAGAGCCATCAGAACGTGCCTACACTTCCACTACTTATTTTCTGAGAGAGAACCATCTACTCATGTGTTGGGACTAAGACATTCCACTCCAACCACAAGAATCTTGATCTCTAGCCTTTCCCAAGTTGCTTTCCACTCAAATCATCTTTCCACCATAGCCAAATCTGTGAAAGAGAGTTGAGTGTTGGGGAGACTATCATTTGAAGCACAAGAGCAAGGAGTTCGTCATCAACACACCATCTATTACCTTTTGGAGAGTGGTGTCTCCTAGATTGGTTAGGTGTCACTTGGGAGCCTCCGACAAGATTGTGGAGGTCAACCATTGAGTTTGTAAGGGCAAGGAGATCGCCTACTTCGTGAAGATCTACCCGAGTGAGGCAAGTCCTTCGTGGGCGATGGCCATGGTGGGATAGACAAGGTTGCTGCTTCTTCATGGACCCTTCGTTCGCGGAGTCCTTCATGGACTTGCGCAGCCGTTACCCTTTGTGGGTTGAAGTCTCCATTAATGTGGATATACGATAGCACCACCTATCGGAAGTCGGAACCACGCCAAAAATCTCCGTGTCATCATTGCGTTTGCACACTCCAATCACATCCCTTTACTTTCTTGCAATTAACATATGCTTTACTCTTTCCGCTGCTTATACTCTTGCCATGCTTACTTGAAATGCATTGTGCATGCTTAAAATTGTGTTAAAACTCCACCTCAACTTGAAGAACGTAAAAACTACCACTTTTGTTTGTTGAGGGTCTAATCCCCCCCCCCAAACACCTCTTCTCGATCCTACATCCACCCTCAAGGCGTGACGGAGAAGGCGCCGTGCTCGACCACAGTTGATGCATTAGTAGCAGGAAGGTATCTGGGTGTCGACACCATGAGGGCCTCGTCGGCGATATATGTGTGATAGTTGAGGGAGAGAGAGATTAGGGACGACAGAAAATCAGAGAGAAGAGAAATTAGAGATGAAAATCTATTTAATGCTCTTGTCTCTTCGGCGGCCATATTTAAAGTTTATAGAAGTCCAAACAAAGTATTCTATCGGCCAGCTTGAACAAAACAACAACTTAAAACTGATTTTCCTAAAAATCTCTACAACTGGTTTTGCTAAAACTTAGTCCAAATAGTACTACTCCCACCAATACATAAGCATATTTTGGGACGGATGAAGTGGTTACCAAAACAGCTACCATGGCATTTGCAAGATAAGCTCTGATCTGAGCCGTTGAGGCCTTGTGATGAGCTGCTGGTGTTGCGTGGAAGTGGAACATGTCAATCCAAATGTCCCAACCCAACGGCCGCTCATTCAAAATTTGAATTTCTGGAACTACTTGTGGAGAGGCTGTAGACGTTGCTGGTCTGACAAGGCAATATAAATCCGCCTTCCCATTTTTCTCCGAGGCAAACAAAAGGGGAAAAACGCGAAGACCGAGGGGCAAGCGGCGGTACGGCGGCGCGGCGGAAGGCAATCGGGAGGCGCCCAAGGACGCCGCGATGCCGGTAACAAGAGGGCGCGCCGCCGCGGCGGCGGCGACGGCGGCGGCGGCAGATGAGGAAGAGCGCCACGCGCCCATCGACATCTCCTCGGATTCCGATGCCGGCGGATCCGAACAGTCCGGGTCGGAGGATGAGGACGACGGCGACGAGCCCACCAGCGACAAAGACTACATCGACATTAGCGACAGCGGCGAGAGCTGCGTCGACATCAGCGATAGCGGCGAGAGCTACGTCGACATCAGCGACAGCGACAGCGAAGACGAAGAGGACGACGATGAGGAAGGCGGCTGCGCTGGGAACGAGGGGGGAGCGGAGGCGGACCGACCCGGCGCAGATCGGAGCGAGGCTGCCTGCACAAAAATCGCCGATCTCCTCCGCCGTAATCACCTCTATCCCTTTCTCGTTTGCTCTCGGCCGTAATTCGTATGATTGCGTTCTATAAGCAGGCGAGATTTTTGAAAATCTGGAGTGGAATTGGAAATCGTGGATAGTGCTAATTGCTGTTTGATTTTTGGAAAACGTGGCATGTGCTTGGCACTGTTGATCTGATAAACTTGTAGATAGTTCTGCATACTGTTAGCTTGGAACCCTGTCAGGAAGTAGCTTCGTAGTATGGATTGCATCCAGAGGAGACTCAATCTGTGAGCACCTGTGGGTTAGTAAAATCTAGTGCGACTCAATCAAGTTATAAAATCTAGTGCAACTCAATCACGTCGCCAAACATAGTCTTCCTGGAGTGATATTGGACACCGTGGATGCTGCTGCACGCTGGAACCCTGTTGGCTGTTGAGAATTAGCGTTGTTCATGGTGGGATACATCCAGGGGAAACTCAATCTGATAACATGCTGGTTAGAGGAATCTAGTACAACTGAATTTAGTCGCAGAATGTGGTCTGCCTCGTAGTGATATTGAGTATCACAGCCTCACCTGAGGAAATAGGATTTCCAAATTATGTAGATATTTTTGTAGACATCTATAGTTTGTTTTGAAATACAGGCAGAATAGTTGTTGAAATGGATATGAGCAATTGGAAGGACCAACTTCAATATAAACCAGTGGTTGAATTGAGCTGGAATCCTTGGCACGACTTCTGTCAGGTTTGAGATGGTAGAAGTTAGGACAGTGCTATACGATATAGCTAGACCTTGCTTTTGCTCTGTTTGTTCCAGAGCAAAACATGAATTTATTGAACATCATGGTCCTTATGTCTGAGACTACTCTCTTATTTCCTACATAATATAATGATCAATATTTTCTTGTAGGAGGGAGAAACCTGGATGGTATTAAGTTGGCGGAGTGCAAAGCATATTTAAAGAATAATGGTCTTCCCCAAGTTGGGGACATAGAAACTTGCGTCGAAAGAATAATGCTGCATCATAGGTTCGTTATTAGATATGTCCTAGTCATGAACAGTACTTGGTGCTTGTCCTCAACTATCAGGACGAATAGCTATTACATTTGATATCAGAAGTCACATTTTAAAAAACACTCCCTGCATTATTATTTTCGTTCTTGTTTTTTCTTTAATCCAAAATCCCCTGTTATTTGGTGATGCGGCATTTCTGAAATAGGTTCAAAGATGAAGATCCAGAGAAGATTTATCCCCGGTCATCCTTTTGTATTAACTGTAAAGGTGAGATCCCACTTGTCATGGAAACTTTCTCTTATCTGCATACAAAATTATCAAAGGCAGTTGACCATGGTCTGTGAATTAGGCGATGTCTGTCGAGGTGATACTGTCTTATTCAAACAAAAGGTTCACGAGAAAAGGTACTCATTGGTGTTTCTTGCACTAGAGCATCCAGTGTCTCTTTGGAATGGTAATGTGACTCTCCTTTCGTTATGACAGTGGCAAAAGGCTCTCAAAAAGTATGGGGAAGCGAATAGTAGCTGGGAAAGTTATTAAGGAAAGTTATGGTAAAGACAAGCAGCAACACACATTTACTGTAAGGATCGATTCAATGATATAGTACTGCTATTGTGTTTTTTTTCTCTTATTATGGCCTTTCTGACTATGTTAGTTGTTCAATTCAATAGATTCAAGTGTTCTGGAGCAAAGGAGTAGGAAAATTACCACCTTTGTATCTGCTACTTGTCAAAGGACGCAATCTATACAGAATGATGACTTTCCGTCAGGTAGGAACTGCTCTTTACCAGAATTAGTTTACACTAGTTTCTGTAAATCACATTTTTGATATTGGAACACTTCAATATTATCCAACGCATGCACTTAATCATACTTATTCAGTCTATGCTGTCTTTTTAGATATTGTGCTATTGGAATGTTATGGATCTGTGCATACCAATTATCAAGTTTATGTTGCCTTTCATACTACTCGTATGAGATAGCTACATATAATCTTATTGATCCATTCTGCTGTTTGGATATGCATGAATTATACTCCCTCCGTTCACTTTTATAAGTCGTTTCAGACAAGTAAAATTGTGTTGTTTTGCACACTGTTTGAAACAACTACAAAGCCTTATAAAAGTGAACAGAGGGAGTAGCTTTTAACCACACCAACATAAATGGGAAAAGTGAAGCTTATTTTACACATGCACCATTTTGAGGATGTTCGGACAATTCTCAGATGTTGTGTACTTATGCATTGATATATTGACCTTGTCACAAGATGGCCCCATATGATTTTCATGTTCATGTAGCAATTCTTTTGTTTTAATTCTAGGCTTGGGCGAATGAAGCGAATAGGTTGAAGGCTCTAGAAGAAAAGCACAGTAGAGGAGATGCTGCAAGGCGTGTCCGTGTTTCAAATAGACGTAATTCTAGAGGACACGGTAAATTCTATTGGCAACACAACCTTGGTTGTTCCTGAGACAGATTATATTTCGCTGTTAGTACTATCCCAGTTCTGAACTCAGTGATGTTATTGCATATGTGGGTTAGTATTCAATCAAGGAGATATCGTGTTAAAAGCTGTTGTATTTGTTTAATATATATCCACTTTTCTGCCCTAAAAAACATTTTTTCTAGAATGTAGTACATTTTCCTTATTCAATGTTGAAGTTTGAACCTTACTGTATGCTAACGACTTCTATGATGATGGTTAGACAGTACAAACACCAGAAGTTTGTGACCATTTCTTATTTGAATTTTGATTTGGTGTCTGTAAACTCTAAAGTTTGGGTTGGTCTAATCGACTGGCACTGGGATCCTTAAAACTCCACTGTAGAACCAGCTGTTCCTCCTAAGGAATCAATTAAAAATCTGTCTACATAGAACAGCATAACACGTACATTAGCTTTTGCAAGATGAGCTGTCTGTTGTTGCCCACGAAAGATGTATGCATAACACGTCATTTGTTTCACTAAGCTACTGTGTGATTCAACCTGTGTCTCCTCAATTTTCTTTCGAGTTTCCAAGTCTACTGTTTTGAAGGTATATGTTTGCTTTGCCAGGTGCCAGACTAATTTTGTCCCCCTTCCTTTTGTATCTATCCTTCTTTCAGCTCTTAAGGGCAAGAAATCGAAGGAAAAAGGAAAGCATCAGTCTCAACCTGGAGGGCCTGATGGTGGATCCAATATCACTAAAGGCAGAAAACGTGCTATGCAAACCTCCAATTCTGATCATCCTGCCAAAAAAGTTCAAAAAGAAGAGCACCAAGTGCCTTCCGGGAAAAACCACACTGGTGATCATCGGAAGGCAAAGACAAATTCTGCCCCCCTGGATAAGAACATTGGCACCAGCACTAGCAGTTCTCAGCTAAATGCCAACACGGAGACAAATCATGCCATCCCGCAGAAAAACCTGCGAACAGCACCAGTCAACAATGGTCTGCGTAACACGGAGGCTAGGGTGAGTAAAGGAAAAGCCGGTTCGAAGCAAAAAAACACTGTTGCTGGCAACCATGATCAGTTTGAAGGAAGGCGCCTAGGTGTAGGTTCAGCTTCTCATCGGCAGGCTTACCCTGGAAATTCAGCTGGGATACATCGTCCTTTCTCCGAGAGGCCCCAGCGGCCACCTCCATTGCGCGAAGTTGGCAATGCCTGGCAACCTCCATTGCGCGAAGTTGGCAATGCCTGGCAACATCATATGGACGACAGATCAATTTCATGTCCAAACCCTGCAATGGTTTTCGGACACCCATATGCAGCACCGGCTGGCTGGCGCGCGCCTGGTTATTTCAGGGAACCTCCACCTGATCAACGTGCGGTGGTATTTCCACCATTCCACACGTCGCAAACTATATACCGCCGTCATCCAGATGGGGCATATGTGATGCCGCAGTACAGATATTCTGGTGGTAGTCATGGGTTTCCTCGATAGGGTAGTTTGTCAGATGACAGTTGCATGGTTGAACACTTGATTAGTGGTCACTAGTGAGAAATGTGGAAACCCTGCCAGCTCGCTGAGGTGATTTTGCACATTTCCATGCCTGTCTTGTGGAAAATGTGACGGCCACTGTAATTGACACGGATGTTTGTGAGGACATTCCAAGACATGCCTCAGAGAACAACAGGAAGGCGCAACTGTGAAGTTGAGAGTAAACAAGAAAACTTGAGAAATACCTTCATTCCTTTGCTGAATGGGTTCATAAATGGGCTTATCTGCTAGTTTTATTTTCTGAATCTATTCATTAATGGACTAACTTATCTGCTGCAAGTAGAAATTTTCTGAAACATCACATGACGATTCTGAGAAAAAAAATTAAATGGCAGTATTACCAAATTGCTTACTCCAGTCTTGTGGCGGATATGGCCGTCAGCCTACACCAAACATTTCAGTTGAGTAGAGTTCACAGTTCAGTATTGTATACAGTCTGAAACCGTGAACTTTTCCCCGAGCACAACAAGGACTCGGTCATGGTCGACATTTCGCTTTGGCAATACATACACCTGTACCTGTGACGGCACCATGTCTCCTGTCAGCTCTCCATCTGCTACGCTTGTATATATTCGACGCGATGCCCCTTCCTTCCGTGACTTATTATCGACCGGTTGACCGACGACCGGCCCAAGATCTTCATAATAAACTGTCTGAATAATACGCACGTTTACTGCTTAGCGTCGAGCTAATACTCGTAAAAATCCGGTGGCGGAGGGTTCGTGCGCTGTCGCGATGAATAGATCATCAAGTAGACGCTGCGGCAAGTGTCCTGTGCGGTGGGAGCTTTTACAGCGAGCTCGATCGTGGTGGCGAAAAGAGAGAGTGAAATCTAACCAAGTCTAATCCAACAAACACATGCACCTCACACTCATGAGTGTTGTGAGAGCCAAAATTCCTTGGGCATCATCATACGTGCGTGTCACTTTTGTGGGAAGCAGGAAGCTTGCGGGTGGGGTCGGCAGGTGCGTGCGCGATGCGACCCTGTTCGCCTCGGGCGTCGGGCGGGTCCCATCCCGGTCCCGGGGGCTGTAGCCGAGTCGCCGGTGCAGTGCGCATGCGTGCTGTGCTGCGTATGCTGACCAGCGCCCCACAGTCGCGCCCGCGCGCACGTACTAGTACGTTGTGCACGAGGTCAATGTTTTCGACTCTGATCAACCCTCTGCTCTCCCCGGTTGGTTTCGCACCACGGGCCTACGTGAAGTGAGCCCACCCTCCACAAACGCCCGACTGTGATCGAGTCAAACACCGTATCTTATCCGATCTATTTTTCATAATCACGCCTATCACCTCGATCTTAAGATATTCAAGCAACTCGAAAATTAATTCGCAAGCTCTAAACGGCAATCGAAAGCATTCACTTTTCTTCTCAATGTTTTTTTTTTTCAGATAAAAAAACACGCTCCACGATAACGATCACACACTCTGGCTTTGCCTGTACGCGTCCGCTTCGCCGTCATGCACCACCACAGGCCACGGCTGCGTGGCAAAGGAGAAGCCGAGCCATGGAAGCTGCAGCAGCAGTGTCATGTGCTTTTGCATGCGCACGTATCGAAGGCGTGTTGTGTCGACGCAGCAGTGAAAGGTCGGCGGCTACGAATCATGTCAAGCTGTGCAGCCCAAACCTAGCCTGTAATTTAGCTCAGCTGTTCCCTTGCCCGACAGGATTGGACCCTCAACACATGCCTCCTACTATGCGTTGCACTCCTTTGATGGCGATGATGATCGCGACGGGTGTGTTGGATTTGATTCTCTGCTGGCCTTTTTAGGTCCCTCCTAGGTTGCCAAAGGTTCAAGTTCCAAACAAAAAAATCAGAAGGTGTCTGTACTTTCTGCCGCTTCGTAGTCCCAACGTCAAAGCAAACGCTAGTAGGAGCGTGTGGTTATAATGATCGATGCTGCTTGGAGTATGTCACGAACGAGGGTGAACTATCAGTGTGTTTGGTTCTTGGCTAGCCTTGTCCTGCCAAGTATTTAGGTGTGGCTAAAGTTTTGGTTGCTCGTAATTTGGCCAATATATTGATAAAAGCAAGTGAAGTAGATTGAGCAAAGAGTCGTTGACATACCAATAAATTACGGACGTCGATAACTGCCACACGTGTGGCAGGAAAGAAGACGCATCACACGTCTCTAATGCAAAATAGATTGCCACGTCATCGCATGCATGCATGCGAGAATATTTTTGGATTTTCAGTGTTTTAAATATTTTATCTCTTAAATGAAAAATCCGATTGAAGATCCGTTTTCACCATTAAATCCCTCGCGACGAGATCTTCAAAACTAGATCTCATATCGATATATTTCGGCGAATTTTTTTGTGTGTTAAAAGTTGCCATGTCTATTGCACATGAATTGTCATGATATTTACACTAAAGTTGTCATGATATATTTCAACTATTTTCTTTTACATTTAAAAGTAAATTTTAACATATTATAAAATGGAGAATTAAGAAACTAGACTTGCCATGCACCATAAACTAAAATTGCCATGATACAGGCACTTAAAATTGCCATGATTCAATAAAAAAATATTTTCATGGTCAAAGTGCTGGAATTGCCATCATCGAAAAACTAAAATTGCCACGATCTACAAACTAAAATTGACACATGGCAACTTTAGTTTAAGCACTATGGCAACTATAGTGTAAACATCATGGCAACTTCCGGGAAAAAAAATCGTCGAAACATATCAACATGGGGTCTAGTTTTGAAGATCTTGTCGAGACGGATTTAATGGTGAAAACGGATTTTTAATTCGCTTTTTTATTTAGAAGATAAAACATTTTTAAGCCGAAAATCAAAAAGATTTCTGTTGATGTCATTTATTCATACGTGGCAAAATAAATGGTGATGGAGGCGTGTGGGCGATCTGCAAACACCCACACGTGTGGGCTTTAGTTTTTCCGTAAATTACTCCCTTCAAAAAAATTATAACAGCGTTTTTAGTGATCTAAACGTTTTTCATATGTTTTTACAGAGGGAGTATCAAACGTCAAAGCAAAGAACAATTATTCTTTTCATCTCCAGCATAATATTCGCCCAGTTTCTGACATTTTTTGTTCTTAAATAAAAGAGAAAGAGACTGTTTTTGAAAAATGATAATTCCAAACGTGTGTTCAACTCTGTGGAGTATACTTCACTTTGAGACCATATATTCGTTCTTTCTTTCCTTTTGCAAAAAAGGTTCATACCTATTATAAAAGTTTATTAGAAGTAGAAATCATCTCAAACACAATAAGAATTACACCATACACGATCTCTACCGCCATCAGAACGACTCGTCGAAACGCCCACTCCCCTACCGGAGATGGTTGGCCTTATTGATAACAACCGAAAAGTCTTCGTGCACATGCCTTAAAGGACCAGCGCCCTTGAGGCGCAATTATCACCATTAGTATGGTCCTCTCTGGCCTATCTAAGGGACTTTTGAAACGAAACTGCTTGGCAGACGACAAAGGCATGCACGACAGCTGCACGACGGGAGTGCTGGCCGTCTGCTATCCTTCGGTGATACAGATGAACGAATGGATATGCACTATGGTGCACAAATCGTCTAAAACCATCGTGTGCATAGCAGCACTGCTTTTGAAACCGTTCCCTAGGGAGGTTCCCATTAGATCATTTGGAGCTCTCTATGCCCGTTGTAAACAAAAGAGCTCTCTCTCTCTCTCTCTCTCTGTCTCTCAACACACAAGCAAGAACACACAAAGTAGAAGCAGAGTATTACACCGAAGGACGAAGCTAGAAAAAAAGTATGGCGGGGTCATGTATTTGGCTGTGGGTTCGTCCTTCTATAAATGTTAGTGATTAGTACCAAATTAGTAAAGGATTTTCAAATTTTATTGGGGTCAACTGACATCAATGCCAATAAGGCAGCCCCGTCCCTGATTACACCTCGTGGTGCCCTGAACCTCGGTAAATTACCTCTGCATCTGAGAAGTGACTTAAGTGTTTTGACCCCTGGCCGAATAATCTAGGAGTGCTCTTGGAACTCCGATCTCTGCATCTGAGAAACGACACCACCGAAGCTAGTCAACCTCCTACTACCATCGTACACAAGAGGTCGTGACCGCTATTAGGAGAGCGGGGGCTCTTAGGCGCGTATGAAGAAGCAAACATCCCATGAGACAATGCATCATAAGCTTCCCATGGCAGGTCGTCGACCAACATCGATGGCACGTTGTCCTCGCATGACAAAAAAAAAATGTCCTTGAACCCGTCGAAGTTTTGGGGATGCCGCCCCGACTTTCCACCATTGACACCACCTTCCGAGGTCGTGGCCCTAACGTACTCACGCTCACCCTCAAGCTGCAGTGTTGCACAACCTGACTACATCCATCACGACGACACTTCTTAATTGAGTCATTGTTTCGCCGAAATCCAAACCTTTTGCTTGGGTGAATAATTGATGACAAAATAAACTAGTAGGCTATTTTTTTTAGAAGGTAGTATATATTAATATCAAAACAGTATCAATTACTTATGACATCTGCACCGTCACAATTTTAGGACCTAATCGAGACAGTGAGGATGCACATAACCAAATACGATAAAATAAGAAGGAGAAATGAAGAAAACCGACACGGGCCAACGACTTGCGAACTGACCAGCAACAACTGACGGTGAATCTTAGTGATGTGTAATCAGAACTGACGGTGATTTCTTTTCTTTCTAAAGACGTGTTGTTATAGTGGTGGCCTATTATTATTGGAGGGTCCCCTTTGTTCTTTGCCACAAGCCGCGAGTTCAAAACGAAGGAACAAACATTGTGTCAAAAGGTAGGGCCGGGAGCTGTTGGTAGGTGTTGACTTGGGACACCTCTCTGAAATCAGAACTGGCAATCCAGAGTTATGCACTTCAGTTCTTTTAAAGTTCTTCTGCATTTCTACTGGTAAGTGGCACTATTCCCCTCTGCAGTCGTGTTTCTTTTTTGTTTGCCTTTC